TTTTCAACTCCACAGTGTACACTGAGAAGAACACGTTTATCACTTTTTCATATATTGCATAATTCATTCAACAGCCACTAATGACAAGCAATATTACTTTTATTGCAGACACGATGAGATAAGTTTAGATCGATGGAAAGGGCATACGTGAGAATGGGCAGTAACCGTTCTTCATATGATACCATGAAAAGTTTCAGTGAATCTGTTTGGTTGTTACCCCATCAATACAAACGGAATATTTCACTCGATGCCCTCCTCTAAATATCCTGCGTATGCCTCTACTGCACCATACTATAGCTCGAGTGGTACAAAGTTTGTAGGTCAACATTCGTAGAAATGGGCTATGCGTTGTGATCGATTAGCCCCAAAGACTTCGATTATTGAAAGGTCGAATCATCCAGTCATCATTCAAAGGATAAGCAGGTCCGTCAACATCGAACATGTTCTCGGTCATTTTAGCCGTCATTTTGTCAAGTTGTTTATCAAGTCGAATACTGATCTGAAGTGTTATCAACTCTACGAATCGGTAATAATGAAGTTGAATGAGCTCCACTGGAAACAATAAATACACTTCGAACTAGTATTGCTACTCATGCTGGCATTTACAGGGTTCTCCACAGATCTCCCATCCTCAAGCATCGAAATTGAACTTCCATACAGACAATAACAACTATCAAGAATTGATTGTCGCAATTCAATTTCTTCGAACTTCATCGTGAGTTTTTCTCAGTTCGCAATATACATTTCATTTCTTTTTAACGAATGAGCATAGCATCTCTGTGCTGAGGCGTAGAATATCAGAACATGGATGAAAGTTCTGCAAATTATGATGGGATCTTCATTTTTCTCACCTGAGATTTTCATTTGTTCTATGATCAACTGTATAGATCAGCTCCTGGCACTGAAGGATTACGAGAAAAAATAAATATACCTTCGGAAAGCAAAAATCGGATAACAGTTGACTGATATTCGTAAATGTATGAAAGCAAGCAATAATCTGACAAAAGCTCCATATATTTGGAAACGGTGCACCAAAATGCATTCCATAATGCAGAGTTTGCCGATTCCACCTTTCACGAATCACATAAAGAGCTGAAATGAAGCTAGCTTCATCACTTCACTGATAAACTGTAACAATACCATTGGGATCATCACAGGTGCATTGGATTTCTGCACATTACATTCCATCTTAGTGCTTGTCGTATCGTCTACAAGTTGGTAGCACATTACGAACAGTCTCATTTCAATATATGGATGGACAAATGAAACTTTTACTACTTATTGATGTAATTTATAAACATCTCATTGAACTGAGCACTCAGTCAACGAGGCGGTTGACTCGTTTTGGAGACTGAACCAATAAAAAAGATTGATATTATGTTTGTAAATTATGGGCAATGACAGAATGTGAAAAGAAAATGCTTGCAAGAACATACAGAGTGCAATCGTAAGCCAGTTGAGGCAAGCCATATAAAGATATGCATTGGTTGCACACTTGCAACTAGCGGATAACGTATGATGCAAATGCAAGAGTACGGCTATTGTGACTAGCACATCGCATAAAGATGGGATTATCATACACGCTGAAAGTGTTGAACGTTCGCTAATTAAATTAGTGCGCTAATTCATCCACTTGAATAAGTAAATAAAATACTCGAATTAGCAAATCGTGATCTGCTGGATAACGTTGTTCCCTCTAGCATGGAGATAGACTTCTTCAGTGATTTGTCACTAAGGAATCCACCAAAATTGCCAATGGAATCAGTCGGTTACAATGATCGAGAGATGATCACTTACATTCGCCCAAATCAAAATCATCACCGAATCTTGAGCTCATCGATAAGANAGCGCACATGAAGTTTGGTTGTTCACGTCCAAGAAGCATTTCGTTTCTGGAATTGCTTATAAAGTATAGATACCATGATTTTGAATGCAATTACGATTGATATTTGCAGTGAGGAACTAGGATACAACGGATTACAGCGTATTCCGAGAAAATAGGGAAAGCAGTCACTGGAATACGAATTCATCTCGGAATCACTGCCACATGATGCCGTCACTGTGTGCAAGGATCAAGAATGAGCTCGTCACCAGAAGGAAATAAGGTTCAATCTCCGTCATGAACGAACTGATTGTGGAAAGCAAACCTTCGGTCTCGATAGGTGATATTTCGCTCAGTAACATTGTCGTACTCGTTCCAAACCGTCATTCGTGTGAAATTTTTGAGCAATTTAAAAGTTTGCTGAAAGAATGAGATAAGAATTGAACAAAGATATTGAGAAGTAAGTGCAAAACTGGGCAATCGTTCTGCCAAATTCATAACTTATCATTGCTTATATTCATTGAAATTTGTGCGTAAGAATCGCGCAACTTTGGATATGCAGTTATAAACTGGCATCAGGAAATTTGACCAGAAATGGAAATTGTGTAGCTAATAAGAAGTAAAGTTTAAAGAACTCAACAGAGATAGGTGGATATCCATATCAGTCTAACCTTGATCTCAAACGAGCAGTTTTGATCACTAGAATAAACCATCTCTAGATCGTGATCAGCCACTTCTGTACAGAGCTGTATTGGCCATATTACGAGTAAAACGAATACACAACATGACAGACAAAATTCAACTGTTTTTAGCAACACAAGTAAGTCCATCTTTTTGTCTAAACGTATGTATTTCAGCGAAAATTTTATTGAAATATACGCATTTTTCAGCTATATTTTGAAACTTTTTTGGCTGAGCAATGAAACTTTAGCGAATCCAAGTGACTACAAGATAGCTAGGATTTGGATGACGATTTTCGATGCCCAGAATCGTTAAGCAACGAATAATCTTTGACTGATGAGTTCCAATCCAGCTTTGCTACAACTTAAAACGCTTTTTCAACAGTGCCCTTGAGAAAATTTCAAATTTATAAGTAATTCACAAATTCAGGGAACTTACTCAGATGCCGAGAGATAAGTACTGACCGCTCAACCACATAAAGAGACCCCGCTGACTCTAGTATGAGTCTCAATCAATGTGAACTGAAGAAATCCTAATATTGCTGACTCTTTCAAAATGCAAATTTTCGACTTCATAAGGATTTCTGCGTATGAAAATTTCTTACGGTTAGCATTTTCGGAGCATTTCTCGTCATATGCAACAATATTTGAAAGATAGGTTCCACAGGGAGAGTGGAAACGATTCCTTGGGAAAAGGAAGAGGTGCTACGGGAAGAAGAGGATTGTTCAGGAGTAAGGCAATCAATCCAAAGGGATTGATTGTATACGCACAGAGGATTTCGTAAAGTATAGTTAAGTAAAGTAAATGAATATAGTAAAATATTTAGAGCATTTGTAGTAAAATAAATGAATTTCTGCATCAACGGGTGAGCTTGCTTGGTTACGGTAACTAAAGAAACCCAACGATAAATGCTTGTTGAGGTTCTGGCGAAATGATCGAGCGAGCACCTCAATGCTAATCTTTAGTGTTGGTAATCCACAATTGAGCTCGT